GGGAGGGAGAGGGGGAAGGAGGAGGAAGGGAGGGGGGAGGATGAAGATTCTGCAAACAGAGAAGTCTGGGGCACGGACATGACTCACCCAGAGCCATGCGTGTAGGAGGCGGGTCAGGCCCAGGTTCACAGGCCACCCAGGGCGGTGCCTTGACCCTTGACCCGGGAGCGGTACCCAGATGCGCCAGCACCTCGAAGCGCCAGCACCAGGTGCAGCCCAATCCGAGACCCTCCGTCCGCTCGGAGCAGCCGGGAGCTGGTGACCCTGCCTGTCCGAGGCTCGGCTCCGGGCGTTAGGCTGCGGGCACCATGAACGATGAAAGCGGGGTGACACCCAGACAGGCGGCCGGGTCTCAGGGCCGATCTGGGGATAAATGAGGAACCGAGGACACGGCCCTCCCCTCGCCCGGGGCTGCGGCAGGAGGGTCACTGGCGTCTCCCGCGCGGCAGCTACGTTGTATCCTGTTCTCTTCCCTCCCGTGTGCTGCTCGCAGCTGCCTCCACACGAGGAGTTGTGCTCCTGTCAGCTTCATCCCCACCTTCTGCGTGCGAACCACTCCTCAGCGACGCCCACGTTTTTAAAAATATTTTATCGACATCAGAGAGGAAGGGAGAGGGAGAGAGACACGGCAACATCAGTGATGGAGAGAATCACCAACCGGCTGCCTCCTGCAGGCCCCACTGGGGATCGAGCCCGAAACCACAGGAGCCCGACTGGACCGGAACCGTGACCTCCTGGTTCACAGGTCGCTCAGTCGCTGAGCCACGCCCTCTGACCGCACTACGGGCCGCTGATTCTATTTCGGACGCCTGTCAGATTTCTTTTGTTTCTAGATTAAAAAGGACAATTGTGCAATAAAGAAAGAGTCGGCGAGAAACCCAGGGAAACCCCTTCTGGGCGAACAGAGACCTGGGTGCACTGTTCCCCTCCGGGGGGTATGAGCTGCAGTGTGGAGGCCGGTTCGGGGGACGCGTTTCATTCTCCGACGCACCTGCCGCCCCGTTTGCCTGAGCGAAGGTTACAGTCACACACAAGGCACAGCAGGGCGTTGCCTGCGGCTCTTGCTATTCCTGAAGCGTGTGGAGGATTAATGTTTAAAGCCCGAGTGTAGGTAACCCCCGGGGAGAGCGAGTTTCTCCGTTAAACGGCCCTGAGGAGCCGAGGTCCCGGGAAGGAGGCTGCCGCCTGGGAAAGGTTCTCAGTCACTCGGTGATTTTGGGAAAACGTATCAGCAATGAAGACGGAGACGCAGAGGGCGTGCGTGAGGTGACAATACGTTTTTAGAATCTTGGGTTTTTATCTGGTTTTGGAGCCTGGGGCACGGAGCACACACAGGGCTTCGGAAGATTTATCTTCTAAGGCACAAAGAGAGGTCACACCTGAGAGGACAAAGACGTGGACACCGTCCTCTGCGTTTAATGGTGATTTCCGCAGACCTCGGGGTGTAAGTCACAGGTGCTGGAGGGACGTCCCTCTGCCCATTGCTCACACGGACGAGGGTGGTGATTCCTGTTTGTGAACTGGAAGACCCCCCCCCCACACCCCCTCCCTTAGCTTTCCAGCCAGCCCAGCGGGTGAACGAGGGTCTGACCTCCGCCCAGACCGGCTACAAGGACCTAAGCGTGACGACACTGGACACAGACCGAGTGCCCGGCGTGCTGGGCCACCCGGGGCTCAGCCGGTCCCTTCCCAACAGGGCGAGTAGAGTGGGAGACGCCCTCCGGACCCCAGACAGGAGGGACCTGCTGTGTTTTTTTAAAAAATATATATTTTTATTGATTTCAGAGAGGAAGGGAGAGAGAGGGAGAAACATCAATGATGAGAGAGAACCATTGATCGGCTGCCTCCTGCTCACCCCACATGGATGGAGCCCTAAACCTGGGCCTGTGCCCTGACCAGGAATCCAACCATGACCTCCTGGTTCGTAGGTCAACACTCAACCACCGAGCCACGCCGGCCGGGCTGTCACTTTTTAAGAGGTTGGGTTTGGTGGGTTAATTTCTATAATGTCCAGCGTAACATCTATCCTGTTCTAGTTGCTCAGGAAACATCTGTTGAACAACAAGGTACCTATTATTACACTAGAGGCTGGGGCATGAACTCGTGCACCTGTGGGGTCCCTCGGTCTGGCCTGCGGGATTGGGCTGAAACCAGCTCTCCAGGGCGTGTCCGGCCTGTCTCGCTCAGTCCTGATAGGCTGAACCCCAGCAGCAAGCTGACCTACTGATCAGAGCGTCTGCCCCCTGGTGGTCAGTGTACGTCATAGCAAACGGTTGAGCAGCCTTAGCATATCATTAGCATATTACGCTTTGATTAGTTGAATAGAGGACCGGATGACAGCAAGCTGACCTACTGATCAGAGCGTCTGCCCCCTGGTGGTCAGTGTACGTCATAGCAAACGGTTGAGCAGCCTTAGCATATCATTAGCATATTACGCTTTGATTGGTTGAATAGAGGACCGGATGACCTGACACTTAGCATATCAGGCTTTTATTATATAAGATTTTCTATGTTGATAGTTGAATTGAGAGGGTGCAATGGGTGACTTGACCACTAGGTGGCACTATTGCTCCACCGATTGAGTAAGCGTTTTTTTTTTTTTTTTTTCTCTCCACCTGGTCCGGACAAAGGCCTCCCTGGCTGCCCCAGGTGCAGGCATTTCAGGCCTGGGCTCCCGAGTCACTGCTTCTCTGGGAAAAGGTTCCCTCCTCCGGGCAGGCTCGGAGCTGACCTGGTTCCTTCCCGTCTCCCTTCCCCTGCAGAAGGAACAAGGCTGCCACCATTTATGCCGGGGCCCAGGGACCCCGAGCGTCCTCAGCATCATTCCTGAGTCCTCGAAGCTCCTTGGAGAACCGACGGGCAGGACAGCCAGCCCCGGGAGGGAGGCCGCTCACAGGCCCAGCACGGGGCCCGGCGGGGATGGTGGCCGC